ACTTGAACCATGATTTATTACCTATTAAAATGAGTTCAAACAGTGATACATATTCATTACAAGTTAAATTACATATAGATGTTATTTCATCTACATTTACTAATAGTATTTCAGCAGCTTCAGATGAAAAACAGTTCAAATATCTGTTGTATAGGGTGTAGAAAAATATAGAGGAGCATTTTTTTTGTTTAGCTTTTTATTTAACTGCTAAACAATGATATACTAAATGACATGATATACTAAATATAATTCAAACAATAAACTCTTATAACATACCACTTCTACATCTTTGTCCAGATCACTGCATTAAGTGATATTTGATGCTTACATCCATTCTTATGTGAGAGGTCAATGAATGGACCAAAATATAAGGGTGTTTCAACCTTATACCACTGTTCAAACTCAAAGTACAAACTGTTCCACTGCTGCTTCGTAAAACACTTTAATTAATTTTAGACCCTACAGGAAGGAACACTATTATGTATAAATAAAAATACATATCTTATAGGGACCGCAAATTAATCTTTTTAATTGTCAACAGAAAATCCAAATATTCAACAAATGCTTTCACACGTGTCAAACTGAGAGAGATACTAAACAGCGGATTAGATTGTTTACTGTGTTAGTTCACTTAGTATTGAATGCCAAAATGTGGGAGGACTCAATTTACATGGAATGCCTTTATCTTAATTAAGAACGAGTGTCCAGCAGTTTTACATGGCACGCTAACATCTGGCTACCACGAAACCAAGACCCCCTCGTGTACCTGGACTCTGAGTGGGAAAAAAGAAACGATGGTTCACCTCCATTCGACACAAACATTTGTATTTCATACAAACCGTGCCTTTACTTCCTGATGAAAATAATTATAAACTCGTCATTACAACAATGACTTCATTTTCCTCTGATTCCTCACAGTCTGACACAAGCACAGCATGCTCCTTCTGGTCTGATGAGAAGAGTTTAAGCTGCTTCAGATGCTTGAACTTAAAGGAAATCAGACAATTCCTACTTGGCGGTGACTTAAAAGAAATGTGAGGAATTAAAATGTAAATTCATTTTAACCAACAAAAACAAACTGTAAAGGTTATTTTCTCAACTACAATTTAAAGCACACGCAATATCAGCTGTTAAACTGGCTCACAATAAAAAGTCAATTAAAACAACAATGGTAAGTGGCTCGATGAAATCAGATCTGTATGTGCAGACACATTTAAACACTGGCTGAAAAAAGTACATGAAGAAGCAACATATATAAAACAAACCAAGTCTGGAAAGCATCTTTTCTGAATAATAGTATCATATAAAATTTAAACCAATTTGCCATCACAGAATATTAAAACTTGTATATATATATAAAAAATAAGATTTCTGTGAAGACAGAAACAGGGTGTGAGAAAAATACTAATGTAGATATTTGTTTGAGGCTTATCTTTTTGAACTTTGTTTAAACCTTAGACAAATCATTAGTCACCACATTGACACTTCTGAGGTAAATACATTAAAATGAACAGTATTAAAAGTATATTAAAACTTTGTATATATAAAAAACATATTCGATTAAGCAGACTTTGATAAATATAGAGAAAGTAACGCAAAAACATCACAATTTCTGTGAAGACAGAAACAGGGCATGACAAAATACTAATGCAGATATTTGGTTGAGGCTTTTTTTTTTTTCAAACTTTGTTTAACCTTAGACAAATTGACACTTCTGAGGTAAATACATTAAAATGAACAGCAAAGTAAAGGCACCAATACTATTTTATCCCAACTCACATGTATACCATACCTTTGGAGATGGTAACAGAGGAAAAGTAAAACCTGAGGTCGTTAAAACAAACACAAACAGCAGCAACTTCTACCCAACACTTAAAGAAATCCCTTGGTAGTGGAAAAACGTGCCAGAGGAACAGCATGCACTAGCACATCAGGACCCTGTGTTTGCCCATTGAGCTCTCAAACCTCTCTCATTTCTCTCTCTTTCCCCCTCCCTTGTTGTTGTCCCTCTCTCACTGACTTGCAACCACACACATACACACACTTACACGCATGCGGCGTTCAGAGACGCGCAGCCATGCAGAAAAACAGCATGCACAGATGGATGTATGCTCCAAGCAGGAGATATGGACAAACATTAGTCAAGCACAGACATGCACTTTTAAAAGTTTGCTTATGATACAGTAACAATGCAGACAGCAAGAATAAAGTGTTGCATAGCTCTCATATACTGTAGCGTGGTCATGGCAGACCTGACATTAAAGCAGACACACACACACTGCACAGAGGGGAGGTCCTACCCTTGAAATGCGAAGCTCTGTGTCAGGGTGCTGCTTGCTACTGCTGCCTCAGGTGACTGCTGCTTTGACCCCTGCTGCCCCTAGTTTGTGGGTCACCTTCTATTTCATTTAACCAGCAGTTCAAGCTCATTTACACAACACCTGCACTCCATTTAGGTATTTAAGAGTAAGGTGTTTTGTCAAATCATTAAAAAAATCATAGAAGCTACATTCTTTGATCAGTTTACAAGTTGACTGCTGTTTGTTTAAAATGGGTTATAACAGTTTAGTAACAAAAGCTGGTTTAACTCAATTTACTCTATATGAAAAAATATAAAAGTGAGCTTGCTGCTAGTGTTAGTGCAAGGTCAACTGTCACTGAATCACCCTGTACTCAGTACAAGGCTGTGGAGGCGCTGGACAACTCTCAGGATGTAACTACTCCCCCAAGTTACTTCTGCAAATGAAGCATTTTTGCCAGCTCATGCAACAGTTTAAAAATAGTGCTTTAAACTTGCAGTCCAGGACGGACTGCATGTAGCCTCTGACATATTTGAAATCAGACTGCCACAAAGACACATACACTATATCTGCAATCACACAGCTGACCTAAAGCAACATTAAAGTAAACACTGAATGTGTAATTAAACCATAGTTCATAATGGAATTTGAAAGACCCTCATCATGAACTGTATACCAGCTCATGAGGATTTTTTCCTCTGAAATTCCCATTAAATCCCCACAAGGTGTCTGCTCAGTGTAACTTTTTCGCTTTAACAACTCATTATGCTTTGGGCTCTGTGCCACCTTTTAGCTGTTTTTAAACACAAACCCTATAGTCTGGAGTTTTGGTGTCAGGAACGGTTCAGTAAAAATAATGTGCTTATCAGAGTCTGCTTTGGCAGCTCTCAGGGGTTTTTCTGGGTCATTTTGGACTCTGGACAGTAGACTTTCAGCACTATTAGCCAACTTTCCTTTTTAATCTCTATGTGAAATAGCTGATAAAGAAGTTAATAAAATGAAAAATAACACAAATATGTCAGTCTGTCTTATCAGCAGATGATTTTTTAGGATAATATTGAAAGTTTAACATTCAAGAATTTCAACTTACAAGTGCTCTATTTGCTATAGCACCATATTGAATTGATTAATTTGATTTCCAGATGCCTTATAAAAACCATGAGGTTCTTAAAAACAAAAAGGCAGACCAGGCAGAAAGTATGGATTCAAAATTCTCTTTTCTTTAATGCATCAGGCATCTTTTTTAGTCTTTTTCTAAATATCTGCCCTGTGCTCATCATCATTTAGCAGTCTCTAAAGATCATCAGTTACCTTGCAAGAACAGGTAAAGGAAGGTATTACAGTATAATTACAGTTTATTTTTTGACTGCTCAATATACTTTCACATTTCTAATTGTTAGATTTTTTTGTTTTGCTCCATATGTTTTCTACTGTGCTCCATAAGTGTGGGCTGACAGTTTCCCATACCCATCTGACATCATGCCAACTTGATCCCAGGCTAACTGAAAAATAAACAGCGCAGCCCGACACAAGAAGAGAAAACCAGAAAGAGTTTGAAGGCCTCTACATTTCCCACCACATCTGCACAAACAACAGTAGTCGATGGAACTTGTAGTACTTAAGAGAAAACTACTCACTGGAGAAAAGAAAAACACTTTGCTTTTACATGTCCCAGATGGAGGGGCAACCTAATAAGCAGACATGGAAACACACTGTCAAGACATGCAGAGTGACCTGCCCTGAATGAGAGATTTACTTCCATTTTCTGTGTAGCGGTTGCACAAGAAGGCAGGAAAGGTGGGAAATGTTAATGCAGGCATTATTAACTTACGGCCCTTTAGCTTCTCCTTTGTCCCAATGGTGCAGGCAGGACAACTCTGAAAAACAACAGTAGTCACTCTCAATGCAGACAAGTTGTTGTCATATTGACTCATGCATGCAGAGGACTTCCCACAGTATGTTCAGCTTTTACTTGCTCTATAGCGGTTGTGTAATGTAGGATATACTGTTGCTTATTGTCATTTTTCTAGTGTAGCCGGGTGAGGGGAGATAAATGGACAACCAAATTATTTTCCATTTAAGGTGGGGGGTTCTTGAGGTTCAGGTTTTCATGAAATGCTCATGGTTTTCCTGTTGATGTAAAACAGTTGAGTTTTGTTGTTGTAATGTGGAGATAACTTAAAGTGGGCTGCTGGGGTCTAATGTCACCTTGGCCACTAGACGGCAGTACTGAATGAGAAGTGTACGTTCCACCAAAACTTGACCAAATGCATTGTGGTCCCTTCCTTCTTTATGTTGGACTGAGCTTGAGAGTAGAGCGCTGTGACTTTTTTAACCTATGTAAGTAAAGATGCCCAAATCTTATTTAATTCTGTTGTATCAACACTTTAAAGAAGTCTGACAAGATGGTGTATTATAGATGCCGATGATGCTGGCGGCGGTGTGTCCAACGTAGAGCTGGTGAGCTTTTGGTGACTGTTTGGTTTTTTGGTGTTTACATATTATTGTATTTTGTTTGCATGGGCATCCAGAGCCCACTGCCGTATTTTGTTACCCCTTACTTTTGCTACTCCTTATTTTTTGTTATCCTGTCATTTTCTTATACTTTATTTGGTGTAAATAAACTGTGACCTGCTGGATATCAAAGCTACAAGGACCCCAGTAATTGTGTCCCATGTGGCAACCACCTTACCCGGGCTACACTAGTTTTTATTGTACTCCTGCTGGCTAATGAAAAGTTGCATCGGTGGATGTTGCAACTACAGTACAGTATGCATTTTAATCTCTATTACACCAGATGCCCCATGAACCTGCATTTTAATGAAAATTTGCAAATAGCAACATCAGTGGATGTTGCAACCAGTGGAAAATTGGTTGTCATTAGAAAAAAAAAGGTTTAATGTGCTGCCACTGACATACTATCACGAACTGCTAGACTACCATACCACTATGTACTAAACCAAAAGGTTGCCAGTGCTTCTTAGGGGCATTTTGAAATCTTACTTACACCTTTATTTCTGGATCAGCATCCTCCAACTTCACCACAGTGACATGCTACCACTAAAAATAAAGACAACTCACAAAGCATCCAAGGACAGGTGACAGGCTGTTGCTGATCTGAGTCCAATAATACAGGGTCAGCAGGACAATC